AAAAAGTTATGGCAATTTTAAGTAAAAAAAATTGAAAAAATATCGAAAATTAGCGATTTTTAAATTTGTAATTTTTTGGGGGATTTCCCCCGTTTACGGGGAACGAGGAAATTTTTTTCAATTTTTAAGGATAATGTCTTCGACTAGATACGATTTGTGATCTTTTGACCTATTATTTTGAAACCTATTATCATATTAAACCTAATTCGGCAATAAATACTCAAAAATATTAGAAATGAATGATTTACCTTGATATTCATTGAAGTTATTGAATATATGAGATAAAAATCAAATGAGTTAAACATTTCTTTCTATCTCAAAATCCTTTGTAAGGTATATTAATATAAAATAATTTACAAAACCGAAAATTATAACACAAAAATAGCATATTTTCAAATACGATAGCCATTTTTACCCAGAAGACTAACTAAAAATCGGATTTTTTTTTACATTTTATAGTTTATTATATAACTTTTAAAGTAAGATATATAAATAATAAGAGTCATTATTTCCGAAACACTTTCAAAAGTTAAGTTGATAGAGTTCTATTTTTTGTGAAAAAGTTTGTAATGATATACATAGTACATCATTAATATCATAAAAATTTATTTGTATACACATTAGATCATTAATGTCATAATGTAGTATTTAAGACTTCAATCAATCAATCACACAAAATGAAATGTATACCAATAAAAATAAGATATATATATATGTACCTTTTAAATGTTTAAACATATTAATGAAATTTCGAAAAAAAGCATATATTAATTATATAAAACAAATAGGAAATAATAAACAATATGTAATGGTAGCACATAAGATGAAGGGTAATAAACTATGTCTAATTTATTATATAAGATATAATAGTATTTTATAATATGTAGATCATTATTGATGAAAATGTAATAAATAACATGTAATAAATTACGATTAATAAAGAAATAATAGTGGCGTCGGGGATCACTTCTTGCCTTTGAACTACGGTCAAATTTAATATAAAAAGCCAAAAATAAAGAGCATTCTGAGAGAGATGCAGTCAGATATTCACAGAGGCACTTACTACGCTCGATCATTCCACACAACGAAGTATATGCAAGAAGTGATCCGCCGTCATCACCATTATTTGTTCACAAAATACAACATCTATTTATTTAAAAGTATCGCAGAAAATATCAAGGTAGGAATCTAATAAATTCACCAAAAATAAATAAGGTTTAGAATTAAATTTTATGAGTACATAGATTAAGTAGGCATACAGGAAAATCAAGTGATTATCAATAATAATAAATATACCAAGTAAATTTAATAAATCGATAATGTTTGTACAGAGTTACTTGGCAGAGTTATATCGTTGATACTTGTCTATTTCAGGAGTTAGGTTGGAGGTTCATATGTATAGCCACCATATCACTCTGGGTAGACACACGAGGTGACTCAATCCCACCTATCATCGATAACCGTCAAAACTCGTGGCATTATTGATATTTAAGAATTGTCAATTAATTATAATAAATCCCATATTAATAAAATAAAGATCACTTTATTTTTCTATCATCTTCTATCTTTTTTACAGACCCTCGTACTCATACCCCGAGTAATAATATTATTAATACAATAAAGTAGTGGATCAAATAAGAATCAAAATCCCTTCATATTCTATTTAACTTATTTCTTTTAAGCAACTGTCAAAGTGCTCCCTAAATTAATAACCCCCCTTAAAATAATACATTAATACATATAAAGTATTTTATATATTTTTTTCTTTTTTTGATTCACTACAAGTTATCATTTTTAATCCTCCTCTGTGAGCAGGTAAAGGGTCAAATTTACAAAAAAAAATATACCAAATGATAGGTTAATACCTAATATATCTATTTAAAAAAAAATTTTTTCTATTCATCTATTTTTCAAAAAGTTATGGCAGTTTTAAGTAAAAAAAAACTCAGCACAGGGGGGCGCAGCATAGTGGTGACGTGGCATAGTTGGATCAAGTATAATGATATCTGACAGTGATTAAAATCACTATAAAAAAAAAAAACGCTTTGATGCAAATCTTTAGATAGTGTTTAATTTTGGTGTATTATTCCAAAAGCTACATGATCTGCTAGTTCCTTATTAATATCCTGATTAAGATAAAGTATGTCGAAAATTATATTGATATGTTCATTTTTGAAAAAGTTACGGTAGTTTTTAGTAAAAAAAATTGGAAAAATTTTGAAAATTAGCGATTTTTTAATTTGTAATTTTTTTGGAGGTTTCCCCCATTTACGGGAAACGAGGGAATTTTTTTCAANTATCGAAAATTAGCGATTTTTAAATTTGTAATTTTTTTGGAGGTTTCCCCCATTTACGGGAAACGAGGGAATTTTTTTCAATTTTTAAGGGTAATGTCTTCGACTAGATACGATTTTTGATCTTTTGGCGTATCGTTGAAAGAAATTGGTTCGGTGAGAGCTGAGAAAAAGTGGTAACAGACACAAAAAAAAAAAAAACACATCTTAGTAAAACCAATACCTTCTCAGCTTCGCATCGAAGCTAAAAAATTGAAAACATGTGCGAAAATTAGCGATATTGAAATTTGTAACTTTTGTTTATGATTTACCCCATTTACGCGGAACGAGGGAAATATATTTTTAGTGTCAGGATTTCTGGAAGGTTTTCAAAAGTTAAGTTGAAAATTTTCAACTTTTTATATTCAAATATAAACGATAAAATCATATTTTATGTTAATTTTATTAGTGATAACATAATATTACACAAGTACAACATGTAATATAGAACACATTTTTGATGCAAATCGCCCATAATACCAGTTCCATCCATCATTGACTTAGCCAAGATCCATCTTTGACCACCTTACACATGAAAGAGGGCCACCACCCAATGTAGCATGTTAAGTTTGGGAAATAGATGGATGTAGAACTGATCATTATTTTATTTATTAATTGAGATTCAGTGAGCAACTAGTCAACAGAGATTGGTATAGTCATATCCCCTTAATACTATTCTAGTCAATTTTTATCACTTATAGTTACTGAATTATTAGAAACATGTATGTTGTACATTTATTTCAAATAGAGATGTTATCGTATGAAAATTAACCCATGAAAAAATCCATGCAATTTATCAATAAATGAACAAACAAATAACTAGGAAAACAACAATGATAATATTTAATATGAACTTTTTAGCGTCCCCTAATACAATCAAATAATTAATAAAGTTTGTTACAATAATTATACAAATAATAACAATAGTGCTTCGACCTGATCACTTTGATCTGGTTGCTAAATATTGCCAAGTCACCGATGCTCTTATCCGTAATATAAGTCACCAAAGTCCGACGGTACAACAATTGTACACATGGGTACGCAAAACCCAGAGCGATGAAACTCTTTGAAAGGCGACTCTCACACCGCCGCAATAATAATAAAAAAATTACTGAATAAACGACAACGAACAATACAATACTTAGTCACCGCTGTGATTTAAAAAACCATGTGTCCCGTGCACTCATGGGGAGCTAACGCTGTTGCTGATGACAACGCACACAATACTAAGGTTATGTCACATCCGTCTTCCAGTGGTCGCTGAACCGGCTCAACTGATAAAACCGACACAGTGGTATCGTCTAACCACGGAAGTCGGCATTATTATCTGGCGCGAACAAGAGATCTGGGTGACATTCTATTGTCATAAATTTACCGTATTAAAAAAAACGGGTTATAATGTAAAAGATCTTGATATATAAGTGTTTGCCTCATTTGTTTGAAAGCATAACTAGAATTAATTTTCACACAAGAAGATTAATTCAATATGATGATTCGCATAAAAATTGTATGTATAGCGTTTGGCCTAGTACTTATTATTGAAAGAAAATAATGTGTTTACAGTCTAGCATTATCAAGTTCATTTAATTATTTGTACAGTTCACAGCATTTTAAATTTGTCCCAAGACGATTAAATAACAATTCTTTGATAACATAATACACTGATGGTCACACGAGTCGTTTGAAACAATCAATTTTTTCTTAATTAAAACAGCACATACAATCAGGAAATCTAATTATTAATTTTATATCAAACAAAAGTTCATAAAATTGTAACTGCGCAATTTTTATTTATTCTATATAGTAGTCATCTCAGAAAAAAATTTAATACGATAAAACATTTCTTACTATTTATTTTTTTAAATGTTTTAATTAATGCTTTTATTAATCAAAAATTCAGTCAAATTTGTCGAAAATAATAATTCATAATTTGCAGTTTTATTAACCTATTATAATATTTTTAAACACATGCTTCACATAAAATGAATGTGGTTGAAAAATTGTTTACATATTTAAAACAAATTTATTTATAATTGTATTTAATAATAGCAAACACTAAATTTGTTAACAATTTAAAATAAAAAAGAGTATAAACCTGAACAGAAAATTATATATTAAAATTTTACAAACATAAATATTTCATTTAATAACTTAGTACTTTCATAATAACTTCTAAAGAATATAAGTTATTTTGCTGAACTCAGAGTCACTTCTTGGAAGGCTATTTGTCATCTTGTATTATGTTATAATTTTTTAAATCAATAATGCTATCAAAAGAAGTACTTGTTGTAAAGCTTTTATATAAATGAAACGACGAATAACTAGTTACAAAATTATTAAAGTCTAAAAATAATCATTATATTATTATTAATATAAAATAATTAATTTTACTTATTTAAAAAATGATATTGATATTATTTTTCAATAAGTGTAGGAAAAGCTAATATGTTAAATTTCAAAAAAATTACAAATTATTTAAAAAAAAGATTATATTGATACGGTGAAAAATATCTTTTAATTGATATAGATTTTATGAAAAAATATACTCATTTATCTTTAAACGTAGAAAATTATTTTTTTGCCATTTAATTATTTTTGTTTTGGGAATCCCTTCTAAATAAATTTTCGTTTAAATAATTTATTATTATCATAAAGTTATCCAACGGCGTATTTAAACTTTCTTCTATAAAAGACATTAACTTAATTTTTTACTACATTAGAAATACTAATGATTTTTTGCTCAAAACTCCCATAAACATAAAAATTAGTCTTTAAGGACATATAACATAAAAACAGAACTATAAAATATGTGAAATTTATATGTAATTATACATTTAAAGAGTGATCACTTCTATCAATTTTATATTATTCTATAAAGATTAATATTATACTCGTAACTATTTTAGATAAATGAAAACTATCCACTTTATCCACTATATATATCCTTTCGTTAAAAAATTTTGAGTCCATAATTTTTTTTTAAATATTTATTTCACTATTGCATTTAGTAAAAACTAATGATCAAATTGTGACTAAGTAGTTTTTTCCAAATATTTAAATTATTTTTATAGATATAAATGAAGTTTTTTTAGTACAAAATTTTTGTTTTAAATCAAATAAAATAAAATAAGAGTGACACTATACATAACGATACAATAAATGATAATTAAGTATATAATATTTACCTGTCCAACTTAAAAACCCGCTAGAACCATTATATTTAATTCTGATCTCGGATTGTAGTTGATTTTTCTTTTTGGATGTATAATTTAGATTATTTATAAAACTATCAATATTAATATTTTGACCGGTTTCATCAGCAGCATGTTTAAATATTTCTTGAGTTAAAGTTTGCCAATTCTTAAAAATATCTGTATTCACATTAAAATTATTGTCTAATTCTCCATTAGATTTTTTCGGCAATGTCTCTGAGTTTCAAAAAAAAATGTCAGTAAAGTATAAAAACCAAAACAAAAATAATAGTAATTATTTATTTTTGGCTAAAGTTTGATATCTTATAAAGAGATACTAACTGATAGTAAAAACTAAAAGACTTTACAACAGTGATAACACATTAAATTATACAGGTGATCTACTATGTCTCACGCAATATTTTCAAAAGCGAAAATAATATAATTATAAACAAATATAATTTTTTTTTTCGGAGAAAATTCGAAAATCCGTTGGTGGATACTGAATGGGGAAAATGAAAAAGAGTTTGTCAAGACAGTAAAAGAAAGAATAGTGTGGAATGTCGAAGGAGACATAACGTGTGGAATAGATTTGCTAATTGTGTTAAGAATATTGCAAAGGAGATTGTTGGTGAGAGTAGGAGTAGAATACCAGGAAACAAGAAAACCTGGTGGTGGGATGAGGACGTTCAAAAAATCATAGAAAGTAAGAAAAAGCAATTCAAAGTATATGAGAAGAGCAAAAGGAGAGAAGATTGGATGGAGTATAAAGTTTATATGCTAGCTAAAGAAGCCAAGTGTGCAGTAAGTAAGGCGAAGTTAAAGAAGTATGATGAGTTGTATGATAGGCTAGGAACAAAGGAAAACGAGAAAGAAATCTATAGACTTGCAAAAGTAAGAGAGCAAAGGACTAAAGATTATCATTTTATAAGGTGTATAAAAAGTGCTGATAATAGTACTCTCGAGTGATGATGATGTGAAAGAAGGTGGAAAGAGTATTTTGAAAAATTACTGAATGAGGAGTATCAAAAAGAGACGTTAAATGATATCTCGTGGAATGAGGGACTGGTAGATTTAATTAGTGAGAAAGAGGTATCGGAGGCTGTGGCATCAATGAAAATGAATAAAGCAGTAAGACCAGATGAAGTGCCAGTAGAAGTATGGAAAATATTAGGCGGTATTGGCATAAGGTGGTTGAAGGAACTTTTAAATAAAATCTTATTAATAGGGAAAATTCCATATGAGTGGAGGAATAGTATTGTGGTGCCGATATTTAAAGGCAAAGGTGACATACAGGAGTGAGGAAATTATAGACATAAAGCTTATGAGTCATAGTATGAAAATTTGGGAAAAGGTAATAGATAAGAGAATAAGAAATGAGACATCGGTATCTAAAAACCAGTTTGGATTTATGCCTGGTGAGTCAACAATGGCGTCATTATTTTGCATGAGGAAACTAATAGAAAAGTTTATGGAAAATAAGAAAAAGCTTTGTATGGTATTTATAGATATGGAGAAAGCGTATGATAGAGTACCGAGAGAGGTTTTAAAGTGGGCATTAATGAGAAAAGGAATCCCGAAAAGGTACATTAATATAATAGAGGATATGTGTACTAGGGTAAAAATTGTGGGAAGAGTAACAGAAGGTTTTCGGGTAAGAGTAGAAGTGCATCAGGGTTCTGCTTTAAGCCCTTACTTATGCTCTATAGTGATGGATGATATTACTAGAGAAATACAAGGAGAGGTGCCGTGGTGCATGTTGTTTGCTGACGATATAGTGTTAATAGGAGAAAATAGGGAGGAAATTAATCAAAGGCTAGAGGTATGGAGATCAGCTCTTGAAGAAAAGGGTTTAAGAATAAGTAGGAGTAAGACAGAGTATATGGAGTACGAGTTTGAATAAGGAGAACATGAGGTAGGTGAAATAAGGAGACCAGTGACAATAAGTGAGGACGTAATTGGAGAGAAGGAAAGTTTTAAGTATTTAGGATCAGTTCTGCAAAAGAGCGGTGGTATTGACGAGGATGTGAGACACAGGATTAAGTACGGGTGGTTGAAGTGGAGAGAAGCGTCTAGTGTCATATGCGATAAAATAATACCAATGAGGCTGAAAGGTAAATTCTACAAGACTGTAGTGAGAACAGCAGAATGATGTATGGTTTAGAGCAGCGATCCTCACTACGCGGCCCGCGGGCCGCATGCGGCCCTTGGAACGTTTTTTTGCGGCTCTCGGACTGACTGTTAAGGATAGTTATACCAACATACATTTTAGAGTTATTGAAATAAATATTTTTTTGGAAAAATATTCAATACTTTATAAATAGGTTCCAGTATATATTTTATATTTATATAACAAGTTTATGTACGGGTAGCAATTACGAAATGATTATCTATTATTAACGGTAATTCCCAGAATGCCTCGAACAACAAATGAAATATCTGACCTCGACGATTGCTCGGTCGTCAGTTTTATCTTAACTGTTTGTCAACAGTGGAGAGTTTTATCTAGCTCAGTGCAAACATGTATTAATGTGATTTTAGTGCGGCTAACTTTATCAATTGAACAAATTATTTTACGAACATAACACTTCGTTCGGTGATTGAATTTTGTAAATAAATATGGCGGGAGTGTACTCAAAAGAGCGGAAACGAAAACTTGAGGATGAAAACCGTGCATTTCAAGCTGAGTGGGAAGGAGATTTTTTTTTTACAAAAGGTAAGAAAGAAGGAACTGCCCTATGTTTGATATGTCGTGAAACGGTAAACGGAAACAAACGTTATAATTTGAACAGACACTACACTTCAATTCATTCGCAGTTTGAAAAAAAATTCCCGCAAAAATCTAAGATCCGAGAGGAAAAATTGCAATCATTGAAAAAGTCCTTTGCTTGTGAACGTAGTACCCTTTTTAATGCAATGAACAAGAATGAGCTTATTACAAAAGCATCCTACCAAGTAACAGAAATTTTAGCACAAAAGATGAAGCCTTTTTCTGATGCAGAAATTGTAAAAGAGTGTGTTGTCACCGTTTGTAAAACTTTGTTTTCACACTTACCTAATAGTAAGCAAATATTAGATGAAGTTTCTAAACTTCAGCTGTCTGACTCAACTTGCATGAGGCGGTCACAAGACTTAGCAGCAAATATTGCACTTAACATTACCGATGAACTTCAGCAAAGCAAATGTTTTAGTCTTGCACTCGACTCATCCACTGACATAACGTCAATTTCTCAATTACTATTGTTCGTTAAATATGTATCCAAGGATTGTGTTGTTAAAGAAAATTTTTTGGGCATGATTCCCATGACTGGACAAACTCGAGGTGTTGATTATTTGAACACGGTAGTAAGTTTTTTTAACGAGCGTAGTATTGATTTGAAAAAGGTTTTTTCTGTGTGTACTGATGGTTGCCCATCAATGTTAGGCCGTAATATAGGGTTCGTTCAGTTGTTGAAAAAGCATTTGGAAAACGATAATTTATTAAGCTTTCATTGTATTATTCATCAAGAAAGCTTAGCTGTTAAATTTGGTGAAAATTTCAGCTGTGTTATGAAACAAGTTGTAAAGATCGTGAATTTTATAAGGTCAAATGAACTAAACCACAGAGCGTTCCAAGAGTTTTTGAAAGAACTTATATCACAATACGGGGACGTGCTTTACCATACAGAAGTGAGATGGCTGAGTAAGGGTAAAGTTTTGGAACGTTTCTTCAGTATTCGTCATGAGATTACTCTGTTTTTAGCTACGAAGGAAAAAGAGTATCCTGATGTTTATGATTTTAGTTGGTGGCTCAAAGTAGCGTTTCTCACTGATACAATGGGCTTTATGAATGAAACACTGACTCGATTGCAAGGACACTACAATAACATTGTAACAAAAATGATTAGTATTGTGTTTTCACAGGAACAAAAACTCAAAATGTATATCGAAGAATTGTTAAACAGTGATTATTCTAGCTTTCCTTCTGTTAAAACTTTATTTGATGAAAATCCAGATGAAAGTCAAGATGTTTCTGATTTAATAAAGCTGTTGACAGATCTAAAGAACGAATTGTCTTTGAGGTTTAGTGGCTTCAGGAAGTATCAAGAACCATTTCGCTTGGTGGAAAACCCATGGTCAATTACAACAGCAAATATAGCTCATCTTTCTGTTTTTGGATACGAAGCTAGGGATTTGAAAAATGAGTTAATTGATCTTCAGCATGATACAGAGCTCAAAAGTGTTTTTGAAGAAAAAAACAAGAATAAAGCTCATTACGAGTTCTGGAATGCAGTTGAAAAGGACAAATTTCCTAACTTAATTGACTGTGCTCAGAAGATTTTGTGTGTTTTTGCATCTACGTATGTCTGTGAATCTACATTCAGTAAGCTGAAGTTCATAAAAAACAAGTACAGATCCAGATTAACAAGTGAGAACGTTGACAACATTTTGAGAATTTCAGTTTCTTCTCAACCTGCCAACATAGATGCCATATTAGAAAGTTGTGAAAGATTTCGCCCTTCGACTTCAAAGAATTAAAGTTCAAATTCAAGTAGGCCAAATCATGAAATTAAGTAAAAGACTTTTCCCTACTTTTTTATATGCAAAATGTTTATTTTTTGATGTAATAAACTTAAGTAATAAACTAATGTAATAAACTTATGTTATAGTCATATTGTTTGTAAGTTATTTAACCTATACCTATACAATTTGTACTTGCGGCCCTAAGGAAAATTTGATATGAACTATTTGGCTCCCTCAGAAATCCTAGTGAGGACCCCTGGTTTAGAGTGTTAGGTGGTTGATAAGAAAGTAGAGCAGAGAATGAGTGTAGCAGAGATGAGAATGCTTAGATGGATGAGTGGAGTGACTACAGAAGATAGGAGAAGAAATTAGCATATAAGAGGGAGTATAGGTGTAGCGTCAATCGTCGATAAGATGAGAGAAAATATACTTAGATGGATTGGTCATGTTATGAGAAGAGAAGAATCGGAAGCCGTAAAAACAGTTGTAGAAATGAATGTTGAAGGAAGAAGAGGTAGAGGAAGACCAAAAAAGAGATGGAGAAATGTTATTGAATGCGATAGGAGTACAGCTAATATGAATGTAGAGGATGTGGATGATCGTGTCAAGTGGAAGTTTAGTATAAGGGTGGCTGACCCCGAGTAGTTGTGATTAAGGCCAGGAAGAAGAAGAAGAAGATGAAGATGCACTTGTGCAATAATATGCACAGCAAGTAATTTTTTTTCAGTATTAATATTTTCTTTTAAATACTTCAAATATTATTATATAAAATAATTCATAATATTAATTATGTATTAAGGCGAGGAAGAAGATTTTTTTTTCTAAAATTATAAGAATTAATGATGTTACGAACAATAATTTTGAATTTCTGACTCGAACCCGAACCTAACTGAACATCCTAATATTTAATCGAACTCGAACGTTAATTTTAATTATTTTCAAACAAAACATTTTTTATAACATATTGAAAAAATTTAGCGTGATATTTGATTATACTAGTTTGATTTCAAACTGATTTACTAGGAAAAACTTTGGTTCGATTTTTTTAAATTTTAAGTTCAATTTTCAAATTTAACCGAAAACACCAAGTTTAGTTTGGTTCGAATATCACTAATAAGAATTCTACCCACTTTAATTAACACAAAAATATAGTTCTAACCCCTTTTCAATCTCCTTAAAATTGAATCACATTTAGTTTTATTATAAAAATATACATGATTAACTAACTTAAAAGAAACTGATATCATGAAGAAAATAACTGGTCAATAACAACTTACGGACCATAATTTCAAAAATGTTTACGACTTTATTATTTAGAGTCTACATTTTACATCTACATTAATGTCTACAGTTTATATTATAGACTGAGGATGTAGAATAAGTTGTAACTATTTTTAAGTTATTAATATTTTTATATCTAAGCCGGAAGAGTATTGTAGCTGAGAAATGACTATTCACATATATTATGTATACATAAGATATACAGAGTGATTTTTTTAACCCTAGCTAATTAATTTCTCTTAAAATAATAATCATACTGAGAAAATTACTTTTGGTATTTATTAGTGTCATATATTTTTTTAATTCATCCCTTATACCTTATAAGGGTGTCAACTTTATTTTTTTTAATGGTAACATATATTTTTATCTATCTTATAAATTATGAAATTATATAGTTGAACAAATTACCGGTCGATAACAACTTTTGGACCAATAATTCACAAGTTATTAACATTTTTATACTTTGGTGGCAGGTGAAGGATACGACGGGAAAACTTCGAGTTACAAAAATAGCAGTACCATGTATAATAATAAATATTGTCATACCCTGGCTTCACTTCCGGTCTATATTATAAAGTGGTAATAACCGAAATAATCAGTCAAAAGTTGTTATCAACTAGTAATTTTTTAAATTAAATCATTTTGTATTTTAGAACCTAGTTAAATGTGTATGCCGCCATTAAAAAAAACAACTCAACATATTGGGGACAAGTATAGACGATATCTGACAAGGATTTCTCAAATGAGAACCTTTATTTTTAACTCGTTAATATGATAGAGAAAAAAAATTCTAAACAATTTTGTTAGATTTAAAAATTATTTTTTATTTTTTAAAAATAAAAAATATGCTTTTAACGTAGTCTAAAAATGCAAAAAAAAACGTTAATTAAAAAAAATTACAGCGAAATGATAATTGTATCAAAATTTATAAGTTGTCAATTAATTATTTTCCATTGAGTATTATTATATTATGTAATACATGGCACGCAGTGGTGGTACTAGAATATATTTTCCGGGGCATGGGATTGCTCAAAATTGCGATGTCATTTTTTAAATCGAACACTTTTTTTTATTTTAATTAATTAAGTTTTTTTTTATTGCTTTTATCAGCCCATTTTAGTGCCATAGTAGCCTCCCCCAAAGGAGGAAGTTTTCTTAACCATTTATACTCCGGGACGAGTGATTATCCGTCACCGGATTTAATTTTTACCAATTAAAAATTGACATAACACCAAAATTTCAAGAGACCTTTTTTTTTTGCATTTTACTTAAGAAAAGTATTAAATAAAGGTAATATATTTACAAGTTGTGACAAAATTGCTGAGTAGTCATTTTTTTTTTACATATAGTTTGGGAAATGACACATTGCCAAACCTGCTCACGAAAGCACCACTAATAATATAAATGGTATAAATATTTAAAAAGTGTAAAAATCATAACAAGTTATGTTATGTTAAGTTGAACTCTACTAATGTTTTTAAGGAATTAGTAAAGGTACGTGAAATTGATAGAAATTGTTTATCAACACTGAATGAGTCACTCACGGACAACCTCACTTACTTGTTAATGAGTATATATTTTAATAATCGTCAATAATGAAATCAGCTCAGTAAATGAACTCATCATACCTCTCCAATAATTTTTTCTGATTATTTATTTCTTTTAAACCTATTTTAAGCAATACATTACCAGAGAAGCTAAATAAGCATTCATTACAGACAGTCTTAGGTTAATGTTCGTACTCTAAATCATTTTATTTTAACATATTTAAATGTAATAACATAATTTGCTATAATCAATCAATTAAATATTAAAATATTCACTATATTCATTTATTTATTAAAGTATAAATTTCTTACCATGAATTTCTTTTATACTTTTTTTCAAAACGTTAAAGTCACTAGAATTTTTATTAAGGAAAAGCCTCAAGTTGAGCAAACTTGTTTCAATTTCTATTGGGAAAATTGCATTTATCTAAATCAATTGAAAAATAAATCAAACAAATCAATAAGTTAATTTTTTATGATTTTTGCTACCAAGGAACACAATAAACAAATTTAATTCAGGTTGATGCTTAAAAAAAAAAAGATATATATATATATATATTAATTATTATTGTTAAACATTTTTTAAATGAAAATAATTCTGTAGTATTCTAGCAGGTTTTTAATGTTCAATATCGTACCATAGAATTATACAGAGTGGTCTAGCATGTTCTAACCAGTCCAATAACTTATGATCTAGTTAATATTTTTCATTATTTTTTTTTACATTATATTTATACTTTTAGGCTATAATAATATCATAATTTATAAAATTTCCTTATTAAAAAAAAAAACATTTTTCTTTTTGAGTTTACGAAAAATGTAAAAAAAATAAATAAATTGTAGATTAGATTAATAAAAAATATCTATTTTATTAATTTACAATATTTAAATTTCTACAGCTTTTTAAAAATTTTAATTTTTACGTGTGATTTTCGGTATCAAGCTTTTGTCTATGTTGGGAAGAAAAGGACAGAAGAAAACACAATTTTTCATGTTAAATATTGGTTATAGATACTGAATTTTTTCAGTGAAAACTGGAAATAAGGAGTTTCATCACAAAGTATCTTTCTTAGCCCGTAATTAATAAAAAAATTTACAAAAATTAGTTTAATATAGTTTAAAAAATCATACTTACTCTGGCTGCTAAACTAAGTAGGAAAGTGTAGCAAATATAACTGAATATAGCCTTAACTGCCATTTTTTAATTTATCTTAATTGAAAAAATATATAACGAAATACATTTTATTCCAAATTCGATATTTATATTGCTTTGTGCAGATTCAAAAACAATCAAATAAATTAACGTTTTATTACTTATTAATAATATTTTGAGACATTTTTATTCATTAATTTTCGCTGAATAATATATTTGTTTAATAAGTAAACAAATGAATCTAAAAATAATAAGAAGAACGTGACTATAGAATGAAAAAGTTCTAACGCAAATTATTTAAAAAAAAACCTCTTTGATCAATTGTTTTTTTTTACACTTCATTATTCTATTGAAATATATCTAAAAAATAATTCATTTTATTTTTAGAGGAGGCGATTTGAAGCTTTTTTTTAATCAAAGTTCTATTTTTCCTTTCACCTAAATAACTACTAAATAAATGAGTACAGATAAGTACTTGATCATGTAATCGCTTAAATTTAAGAAATAGGACAATATTGCTCATGAAATTTGAAGCTACGTTTATGATCATAAAAAATCAAGCTGAGCCACAATAAAGATATCACTGTTTTGTTCGGTTGACTAGAAAGTCAAAGTCAGTGACTGACACCCTGTCACCACCCAATAACAATCGTGCTTGATTTATTTATTTTGAAAAATATTAATTTATAACATTTTATATACTAAAAGCTTAGTATGGTGTGGATAAGACGATAACTTGGAATTGACTGATGTGTAGTGTTAAGAGTATGACGTACAATATGGTTTGTTACATTTCCTGTGCGAGAAATTAGTTCAGTAATAATTACCGAAAGAAGAATGGCCACTCCAATAATTGGAATCATCATCTTTCCAACGTCAGAATATATAAGTTTAAGCAATTTCTTCTTTAGGGTCTGCAATGAATTAGTTTAAAATTACATAAGTTTTTTTTTATACTATTTACAATAAGAAAAATGAACGTATTCCGGAATAATTAAAGGATTAATAGCATCAGCCAAATAAGTTAATTTTTAAAAAAATTTCCTGAGAGACAATTTACTAAGCAAATAACCAAAATAAAAAAAAATAATTTTTGTACTGAAGTATATAAAATACAATTTTAAACGTTACAAAAAATTATTCTTTAAAAAAAATTGGACTTGCTAAATTATTGACCTTACTTTTCAATTTTAAAATATGTGAAATAACTGGTACTCTTATACACGATAACCAGTAAAAATGGTTGCTTTAAGTGTAACTGAAACCACAATCGGGGAAATTTTCGAGCTTTAAATTAAATACGTTCATACTGTTACAATAAAAATATGCTGTAATCAATGAAAAAAAAAATGTAACAGTATGTTTTAAGTATCGACCCATTGGACCCTATTATGCATATTAGGTTATTTGTATGTAAAAATTAAATTAAATGAATATGATTTAAAGAAGTTAATGAATCTGGTGAAGTTCAATTATTAAGTAAACAAAATTTGAAAACAATTATTATCAATAGTTTAAACTATCCCTAAGGTTTTAATGGGTTGAAAGCCTGTAAACCTCAGTAAACTATACTCTAATAAAAAAACTCATGTAGATCCAACAAATTTATTGTTATTATATTGAAGATTCTCTTTTTTTGGATTTTATTTTTTTTGGTTTTTGTTGGTTACATTTCTAATTCCATTTTTCTTGATTAAAATATTTTTCATGTTCATCTCTAATATCATATAAGTGTGTGAACTTTATTTTTTTAATGGCAACATATATTTAATAAGAAATAAAATAAAATTATTTTATAATTCATAAAAATTCTTGGCTCTCGCTAATCCGATTCTGTTGTTGGTGTATGCATCAAAATTGGAAAAATCTTCAATTTTAAAAATTTGAAAAATATCTCAAAATTTTAATACCATGTAAAGAAGTATTACAATTTAATAAAAGAATTCTGCATCTTAAAACTGCAATAACTTTTTTCAAACAACGAGCTTTTTTCAATATGCTTAGTATAAATATCAAAAAAAAACTTAAGTACAAAAGTACCCACTTGTGTAGAAAAATTTTTTCAATTCAATTTTTGAAAATGTTGCGGAACGTCTAACAAACTAAACCTATATTAAATTTAACTTTAAAAAAAACTACAATATAAAAAACCCAGCACAGGGGGGTCGCGGCATAGTGGTGACGTGGCATAGTTGGATTAAGTATAATGATATCTGACAGTGATTAAAATCACTATAAAAAAAAAACGCTTCGATGCAAATCTTTAGATAGTGTTTAATTTTAAAAAATTGGTGGAATATTTCAAAAGCTTCATAAACTGCTAGTTCCTTATTAATATCCTGATTAAGACAAAGTATGTCGAATAAAAAAGCGATTATTAAAAAATAGTATTTCCCATAAAAAAATTATATTGATCAATACACTTTTCAATAAGTTATAACATTATAAAGTTAAAAAATGTAAAAAATAAAATCGAGAATTTTCACACAATAATAATAATTGGTAGCCATTTTCACCGTGAAGACAAAATAAAGTCCGACATTTTTTTTTTACATAATAAAGAACATTACATTAGCTTTAATTTAAGATATATATAAAAGTGTCAGACCTTCCGGAACACTTTCAAAATTTAAGTTGAAAAAGTCAATTTTTTGTGAAAAAGTTGTCATTTTGAATCCCCCCCTGTAGGCAGGTAAAAAGTCAGATTTATAAAAAAAATATACCAAATGATAGGTAAAGACATCATGCATCTACAAAAAAAAGAATTATATTGATCCATACATCTTTCGAGAAGTTATAGCATTATAAAGTTAAAAATATAAAAAAGAATTTTTTTACAAAAATCGTATTTTTTTTATTAAGTTTAATGTCTGTTTTCACCATGAAGATAAAATAAAGTCCGAAATTTTTTTTTACCATGATAAAGTATATTACATTAGCTTTAATTTAAGATATATATAAAAGTGTCAGACTTTCCGGAACACTTTCAAAATTTAAGTTGGAAAAAGTAAATTTTTTGTGAAAAAGTTGTCATTTTGAATCCCCCCCTGTAGGGAGGTAAAAAGTCAGATTTATAAAAAAATATACCAAATGATAGGTAAAGACATCATGTATCTTTCAAAAAAAAGAATTATATTGATCCATACATCTTTCGAGAAGTTATAGCATTATAAAGTTAAAAATATAAAAAAGAATTTTTTTACAAAAATCATATTTTTTTTATTAAGTTTAATGTCTGTTTTCACCATGAAGATAAAATAAAGTCCGAAATTTTTTTTTTCCATGATAAAGTATATTACATTAGCTTTAATTTAAGATATATATAAAAGTGTCAGACCTTCCGGAACACTTTCAAAAGTTACGTTGAAAAAGTTCTACTTTCTATATGCATTTTTATGTTTTGAATCCCCCCTGTATTAAGGAAAATGGTCCGATTTAAAAAAAAAGTATGTCGAATGAAAGATCTATATAAATACTACTTCTCATAAAAAAATTGTAATGATTCATACATTTTTCAAAAAGTTATAGCATAATAAAGTTAAAAATGGAAAATACAAAATCGAAAATTTTCACACAAAAATAGCATTCGGTAGCCATTTTCACCATGAAGATAAGATAAAGTCCGAAATTTTTTTTTTTCATGATAAAGCATATTACATTAGCTTTAATTTAAGATATATATAAAAGTGTCAGACCTTCCGGAACATTTTCAAAATTTAAGTTAAAAAAATTAATTTTTTGTGAAAAAGTTGTCATTTTAAATCCCCCCTTGTGGGCAGGTTAAGGGTTAAATTTATGAAAAAAATATACCAAATGAAAGGTAATGATATTATGCATCTATATAAAAAAGAATTATATTGATATGTTTATTTTTGAAAAAGTTATGGCACTTTTAAGTAAAAAAAATTGAAAAAATTTCGAAAATTAGCGATTTTTAAATTTGTAATTTTTTTGGAGGTTTCCCCCTTTTACGGGGAACGAAGGAATTTTTTTCAATTTTTAAGGGTAATGTCTTCGACTAGATACGATTTGTGATCTTTTGACGTATCATTGAAAGAAATCGGTTCGGTGAGAGCTGAGAAAAAGTGGTAACAGACACAAAAAAAAAAAAAAAAACACATCTTAGTAAAACCAATACCTTCTCAGCTTCGCATCGAAGCTAAAAAAATACTTAATCTTATATTAAGCATTTAATTTAACAACACATAATATTTGAGTCAAATTTTAAAACAGAATTTTTTAAATGTCAAATATACAAATTATTATGAAATTCAACAGATTCGTATCAAACTCCTTTTTATGATAGTGATGTTCAACATTGTCAGACATCTATACTTCTCCTAACATTACCACGTCACCAGCTGTGCTATGACCTCACTGTGCTGGGTTTTTAGTATATCAATTTAAATATTAAGTATTCCTTATTTCTCTCATATTCGTTTTATATTAAAATAAAAATGAAAGTATATATATTTTGTTTATTGTATTTGTCAAAATTCTTTTTGGTTATAAATTAATATTTTATAATATTCTTTAAGCCTATCATTGAGGTGTCGATGATAGAATTAACTTAGGATGGTCCCCAATATAATTTATTTAATTTTTCAAATTGCATAATTAAATATATTTTTTTCATCACAAACAACCCAGATAGCAATTAAAAAAAAATATATTATTAAGGAAGGCGATCTAGGTTTTTAGTAAAAAAAAAAAATTTAAGTATACGATTATATTGCCAGAATACATTGGAAATTCTTTTTTGTTATAAAGAATAAAACGATTTATTAGTCAATTAGTTTTAGTAAATTGTTAATAAATGCAACAACTTTGATGAAAAGTTTTTGGAATTAATCATCCTAAAATCATTTCATTTAATAACTCGAATAAATATAATAATGGTTTTATTAAATTGAATTTTAATTGTAATCTGTTTATGTTGTTTTAATACTTTGAAACACGTATCATTAATTATAATTAGTATTGATCATTGATAAAATAAAATGTTTTTTTTTTTTGGTTTTGAGTTTTATCATGCATATTTTATTTAACTAGAACAATACTATTTAAATTTTATTTATTAGGATAATATCGAGTAAACAATGACGAAATAAATTTAATTGTATCTTTCGTCTCATTTCCAA